CTCCCGGCCACCGCAGCCTCCACCTGCTGGGCTCCAGTGATCCTTCTGCCTCAACCTTCCAAGTAGCTGGAACTACAGGCACACGCTACCATGCCCGGCTAGTTTTTTTATTTATTGTAGAGATGAGGTCTCACTAAGTTGCCCAGGCGGGTCTCGAACCCGCGGGCTCAAGCAATCCACTCACCTCAGCCTCCCAAGGCGCAGGATTACAGGCTGAGCCACCGAGCTCGGCTCTGAATTTATTTTTAAACGATAATGTTTTTCTTATTGACAAGCACACGTCCCACTGTCATATGCAATGCTCCTGGCTTTCTGCCTTTAGTCCTCAGAAATGCCCTCTTCAATGATAGTCATTTCGGAGCCACATCAGGCTAGTGGAGGGCAACACACTCAGGACTGCACTCTCCTAAAGACACACTCCTTTTAACCCGGTCTTAAACACTGACTCGTATGGGCCACTCTGGCTTTGTCTGCCTTACTACATGAGTTATTGCAAGTAAATAATCAGTAAAAAGCATATTAGTCATTATTTCTCTAAACCAAAAACTGATACATGTTTTAAAAACACAAACAACTAAACCTCAGAGAACAAGAATTACTGGTTGTTCTGTACCTTTTCTCTGATCTCCAGGGCTCTCTTACACAATGGTTCAGCTTCTTTATACTTCCCTCTTTTACCATAAAGAACTGCAAGGTTATTCAAAGTTGCCGCCACCTAGCAACACAGAGAAAACCACTAAGAGCAGTAAAAGATAACAAAATAAAGGGTACTGACACACCTCCTATTCACACATACTCGATATGTACCGTAAAGTACTCTTAACTGGATAAAAGAATATGACTTAAGTTAAAAGAAAAACAGCAATTCACTATATTATAGGTTATACAAAGTAGAATACTAGAATTAAACAAATCAACAGGATCTTGATTTTTTTTTTTAATCTCTCCAGTAGCCACAAAGTCAACCAAACAGACCTGTATGTATATCTGAACAGATTTTAATTAAAATTAATTTTAAAACAACATAAATTCTTCAGGAAAAAAATTCTAGAAATACATGCAATTTGATTTAGGATCAAAAAACACAGTAGGTGATCCATTTGAGGTGGCAATTATAAACAAATTAGGTATGCACTGGTCTGGCATTGGCACTGAGTAAGTGAAGACCTCCTAGCTGCACCATCTAGAGAAAAGGCAGCACTTAAACTTTCTCTGTTGAGTTTAATATTAAAGTGAGTTGGATAAAAAAAATGTACTGGGGAAAGTAAAATATGAAAGAAATAGATATACAAACCGCGGGGTGATCTTTGCCCAAAGTTTTTTCACGAATAGCCAAGGCATCATTCAGTAGATTAGCTGCATCTTTGTATTTATTCTGATCCCTAAATTGAAGCACACATTAAATGTTTTAAAGGTAGATTACCACATCTTTTGGGGGGGGGTTGGAGTCTCACTCTGTTGCCCAGGATGAAGTATAGTAACATGCTCATAACCGGTGCAGCCTTGACCTGCTAGGCTCAAGTGATCCTTCCACCTCAGCCTTCCAAGCAGCTGGAATTACAGGCACGAGTCACCACACACAGCTAATTTTTTTTATTTATTGAAGAGATGAGGTCTTGCCAAGTTTCCAAGGCTGGTCTTGAACCCGTGGGCTCAGACAATCCTCTCGCCTCCGCCTCTCAAAGTGCTGGGATTACATCTTTTATAAATGTAATTTTAGAACTATAGAAATAAAAGTTAAGCTTTAACATCTGAAAATAAAACCTCTGTGTGGGAGAAAAAGACTGGAAGGAAACCCCTCAATAAATGGACTGGCAAGGTGAGCTCTGGCATCAGAAATGATCAGTTTCTGAACTTGGTCTTCCCGTCTAGACAGCACTGTTCAGACCCACAGCTTTGCCGTGTGTGTGCTATGCTATCCAGCACAGAATAAGTGCAGCAGTCTAAAACAGGCCAACCTTGCCTGTGGGATCAGACAGAATTGACTCCAGTTTCTGAGCTCAGGCTCTGTCAGTTCATGGCCATGCGGCTTTGGGTACATTAAACGACCTCCCACAGTCCCAGTTTTCCTATCTCCAAAGTAAGTACATTATCTAATGCACAGTGTTGCTTCAAGAAATAAGATGCTAAGCTATGTGTATACTGAAAAAGTCTCATAAAAAAATAGTGAACAGGCCAGGCTCAGCCTGTAATCCCAGCACTTTGAGAGACCGAGGCGAGTGGATTGCCTGAGCCCACAGGTTCAAGACCAGCCTGAGCAACTTATCGAGACCTCCTCTCTACAATAAAAAAGAAAAAAAAAATTAGCTGGGCGTGGTAGCACATGCCTATAGTTCCGGTCACTTGGAAGGGTGAGGCGGAAGGATCCCCAGAGCCCAGCAGGTTGACGCTGGGGTGGCCATGAGTGTGCCACTGCACTCCAGCCTGGGTGACAGAGTGAGACTCCCACTAAGAAAAAAAAATAGTGAACAAAAGCAAACACATCATGGTGTCTTAATCTGGTACCCAAATTGCCATCATTTTCTTTCCACTTATATATTTATTTATTTTTTGAGTCAGAGTCTCACTCTGTCGCCCAGCTAATTTTTTATTTATTTTTTGTAGACACAAGGGCTCGTCCAGTTGCCTAGGCTGGTCTCGAACCCCTGGACTCAGATAACCCTCTTGCCTCAGCTCCTAAAGTGCTGGGATTACAGGCATGAGCCACTACCACACCTGGCAGCCAGCATTTTCTTGAGTAAGGAAGAACGAAGGATCTTTCTTGACTGAGGTAAAAAAGAAACATCCCGGACCCTCTAGTTTAAGCATGCCACTCACTATTAATATGATTACAAACAAGCACTTGCTTTTGAGACTGTATACACATTTCTTGAGTAGTAACAGGTACCCAGCAAAGCTCTGCCCTAGAGAGCACAAAAAGTGTTCATAAGGCTCCCAGACGTCTGAAGGACACTAATTCTGGCCAAGTATGTTGTTTTTTTATTCAGTCACCCTATTGTACATAAGCTACCTCAAGTTCTTTGTGAAAGTCAGCAAGTATGAAATAAAGTTTCAAAACTAATAAAGCAATTTTTAAAATATTCCTAAAATATTATGAGAATGAAATGAGACAAGGCATACTAAGCACTTCTGTAAACTATGACATGTCATAAAATGTCTGGAACTATCAGTTAGCAGAGGCTCTCAGGTATGGCCCAGTTAACCTCAACAGGAATCTGTTAGAAACGCTAGCCCTGCCGGGTGCAGTGGCTCATGCTTATAATGCCAGCACTTTGGGAGACCAAGGTGAGAGGATTATCTGAGCCTGCGGGTTGGAAGGCTGAAGTGGAAGGATCACCTGAGCCCAGCAAATTGAGGCTGCGGCAGCCATGAGTATGCCACTGCACTGCATCCTGGGCGACAGAGTGACACTCCTACTCAAGGTCAGCACAGTGGCTCACACCTAATAATCCCAGCACTTTGGGAGGCTGAGGTGAGAGGACTGCTTGAGCCAAGGGTTCAAGACCAGCTTGGGCAACTTGGCAAGACCTCATCTCTACAATAAATCAAAAAATTAGCCAGGCGTGGTGACACATGCCTGTAGTTCTAGCTACTTGGAAGGCTGAGGTAGAAGGATTACCTAAGCCCAGCAGGTTGAGGCTGTGGTGGACATGAACGTGCCACTGCACTCCAGCCCCGGCGACAGAGTGAGACTCCAACTCAAAAAAAAAAAAAAAGATAACAGGAAATTCACAAGACACAATTGGCTAAACATAAATAATCAAAGAAATACAAATCAAAACACAACGCTCCAATCATCCGTAGAAGAAAACAATGGAGCAGGCGTCTCCTCACTCCCCGGCAGTTCCAGCACAGGAGGAGTGTGAGTGGGCACCACCTCTGAGCAGCTGCCTGGCAACAGGTACCAAGAACTATAAAACGTTTATACTCTAACCCATCTTATGAATTTATCCCAAAAAATAACAAGTCCAAAATCTTGGGCAAAACTTATGCTCTAGGTATAATATCAATGGCCCAAAAATAAACTTAAAGTTACATGTCCCTTAATACACGAATGAAGAAATAACAAACCATGGTCCAGTTGGAGGACAGAATACTGGCTGTGGATATACATATGTACCTACTAATTTTTTCCAAACTTCTAGTGTCATGGGTCAGCTCTTGTACTATCATATGAGAGAAAATCACAGACTGATGCAAGCCCATTCCATTCCCAGCACCCAGCATAGTGGCACGTATGCACCCATGCATGCTTGTGTACAACAACAAAAATCCAATTACGAGCTGGGAGTGGTGGCTCACACCTGTAATCCCAGAACTCTGGGAGACAGATGTAAGAGCATTGCCTGAGCCCATGGGTTCAAGAACAGCATGGGCAACTTGGCGAGACCTCATCTCTACAATAAATAAAAAAATTAGCCGGGTGTGGTGGTGCACACCTGTAATTCCAGCTACTTGGAAGGCTGAAGAGGAAGGATCACCTGAGCCCAGGAGATTGAGGTTGGGATGGTTGTGAGCATGCCACTGCACTGCAGCCTGGGCAACAGAGTGAGACTCCTACTCAAAAAAACAAAACAAAAAACACTTATATTTATTTACATTAATAGTATCTAGTGTTGGCCAGAAACTTTTATGTACTGTTAACAGGCATATACATTTTTTTAAAAACCTTACTTGGAATGAAATTTATCATACTCTATCAAGATGTTAAATGCAAATACATGTGACTAACGAATTCCTATAGTAAACACATGTAAACAGTCTAAATGTCCATCACTATAAAAACAGTCAAAAACTTTTTGGAATATTCACACAAAACAGTCCTGGAAAAGACTGTGCTGTTAACAAATGAAAGCTGGTCAGGCATGGTGCTCATGTCTGTAATCACAACACTTTAGGAGGCTGAGGCAAGAGGAATGCTTGAGCTCAGGAGTTTGAGACCAGCCGGGCAACATAGCGAGAACTCATCTCTACAATAACAACAACAATAACAAAAAAGCATTAACCAGGCATTGTGGCACTTGTCTGCCCTCCCAGCTACTTGGGAGGCTGAGGAGGAAGGACCACCTGAGCCCAGGAGGTCAAAACTGTGGTAAGTTGTAATCACGCCACTGCACTCCAGACTGAGAGACAAAGTGAGACTCCAACTCAAAGGGGTGGGGCGGGGGGGGGGG